CACTATATGTAGTATATTCTAGCTCGTTGTAATAAACGCGTTTTCCCCCAAAAAACTATATACTTCATTAGCAGCTATCCGTGTATATATGTTGCCTCCACCAGGGTCGCTAGCAGCAGGCGCGCGTATCCCTAACTAAAAGCCAAAAAGCATGCTGAACGATACGTATACTGTGGTTATACTTGGTAGAAATGATCGTGTTTATTGCTTGTCCAGTCAGTACTGCGCTGTGGTAGCGACACTGAGAAGAACCGTATTTTATACGTAGAAAATTATTTCGCATGTTTTTTTCACTGTGCAACTAGGTTTGCGGATTTTGGCGTAAAATAAAACCATTCTTGAGGGCGTGAAACTTGAAAATGCAGAAGCTTAATCTGGATTTGTTGCAAGGAGTGCTTATAAATGTTTATTAGAGGTTATGGGGAAAAAATGCGAAAGCAATTTATTGTGTGTTAGTAAGGGGTGGGGATAGGAGAAGAGGAAGGCAAGATAGTGTGTGCTCCTTGGCCCGTTTGCTGGGGTTCTTCTTCGCCATTCGCCTGGTGTCGATCGGGGGAACCACGAAAAAAAAAAAAAAAAAAAAAAAAAAAAAAAAAAAAAAAAAAAAAAAAAAAACGGATCGATCTAGTTGTAAAGATATATTTGAGTTGTATTTCTCTTCACAATGGAATATCTCACGGCATTTCGCGTCTTTTTCACTCGTGCCGCTAGATATCGCATGATCGCTACCCTATCGAGCAGTGCTGGCGATCATGCGATATCTAGCGGCACGACGGAAAAAGACATGAAATGCCGTGAGATATTACACCGTGAAGACAGGCCCTCACGCGCGAAGAAATAAAAACCTAAGTATAGTTCGAAAAATCCTACCACCTTTGGGGGTTGAACGTAGGCCTTCCCTGTTGGGGGTAATACTACGATCAGTCTGAGCCAGCTCTCCCGTAATGGATTCTGGTAAACCAAAATACTTTCGAACTCACTAAGCTACTTTTTCCATCATTACGTTAGCTATTCACCAAGAAACCAAGTAATTAAATTAGCAGTTAGAAAATAGCATTGCAACAATGCAGCACCAAGTTCCCATTCACTTAGGAAGTTTATATTACTAATCACGTATTTTGAACTTTGGACTTCGCACTTTTTACCTTGAGTAAAGGGCTTGTTTTCAGGATTTGAAGAAATCATCTTGTCATATTCTTAAAAGTACTTTTGGGCCAATGAAACAGAGAAACACATGAATAAAATTATTAATATTTTTATTATATATGAATTAAAACTTGAAGTCACATTTTCCAAAGTTTCGATTCAATACGTTAAGGATTTCCTTCGGGGTAAATTTGTTATGCAAAAAATGACGACTGTTCTATGACGTCAATGTTGCTCTCCTGCGCTGCGGCGAGCTGGGCTCTGGAATAATACTGAGGTTGCGAATTAAAACACAAATCCTATATATGTGAACAAATAATAATAATAATAATAATAATAATATACACCCTCATGGTTAAGTCTAATGTTACGCACTTTTTCATCTCAGGGACATAACAATGTTTACTGAATAAAAAGTAAGTTCCTCATTAGTAATTTCTAATGCGTGGAGAAATTGAAATATAACTATGCGAAATATAACTAACTATATAACTTCCGATAACGTGCAAGTTTTCTATGATTTCGGCAAATACATAGAAAATCAGGAGAAAAACAAAAAATGTACTATTATTTTACTAATTTCCCAAAATTGAAAGAAAACTATGTTGCCTCCGACTATGTAAGAAGGGTCTGTGATTTCATTAGATACCCAGAAATTGGGGGAAATCCAAAAACGGATTCGTAATGGAACGGCTACGATTTTGGGAGAAAAAATTCAAATATTTTATTATGTTAATCCACAATATCTCATTCACAAGGTTACGGCAATGTTCTTGAGCTTGGTCCATTGCTGCTATCGATTCAGCTCACATCAGAGAGTGCGTGGTTCTGAGGGAGAAGCCACCCGCCAATCAATATTTGTTGTTTACGTGTTGCGTTAAGGAGCAGCAACATTTCTATATATTTTGTAAAAAAACTGTATTACTATGTACCAAACATGTTCTTGCAATAGTAGTGAAGAGGTTTTTGTTCAAATATTTAATTTGTTGTATTTCTATAGAAGAGTATTTTATTTGTTGGTCTTGAACAGTGTTTGTGCCACTTTCTAAAAATCGTTAAGGTGTGGTTTTGTTTTGCAGCAGTATTGTTTTGGATGAACAAATAGTAGTAGAATGTCGTTATTATTTATAGTGTTTTGCTATTTTTATTACTAGCCTACATTTTGCATCCAATTTCGAAATATTATTTCGTCAAAAACTGGCGGTGCTAAACCAGCACGTTCTTTCTCGCCAGTATTTTCACGCTAAATTATGTAAAAAGTACTCAGATTCTACACAAATTATATATGACTTTACTTTAAAATCTATTTTTAAGAAACAAATTTCATTAAGGGGAAAAATCTTTATCTTTAATATTTTAGTTGTAGGAAGACTTCGAAAAAAGTTTAAACTTTTGCAATTTTCGAAAAATGAGAATTTTTAACTATCTTGAGACATCCACCATTATCTTAAATGTCCTTTACAATACCCAAAAACAAAATTTAATAAAAAAAAACGATGGAGTTTTTTTGATAACTTACAAAATTTCCCTGGGGCTTTATGTAAAATGACCTCACAATTAAAATATCGGTTTCAATTTCAAAGGGAAGCGACGTCAGCCAGATCGATTGGGAAATATCAATTTTGGAGAAAATCGGCTGAACGGTTTAGCCATGAGTAGTATTCACAGACGTTTTTCCGTCATTCGATTTTTTTGTATCAAGGACCCATAAAATGTTATCTATGCCACGTGTTAGAGGTTGTTTTGTTTGCTACATTTAGCAACTGGATTTATATACTTTTTCATTACCAGGTCAATGTAATAAGGATTTTTCCTGCCGAAAATTCGCCATTTTTCCGCGCAGCATTACGTAACTTTCTCTCTACTCCGAGAAAGTAAAAATTGCGAAAACACGTGAGTAAATACGTCAATCCAATAAAGAGAGAATGTTGAACATTTCATATTTCAATGAATTTAATCAAAATAACATTAACCAGGGATACAAGCATGATTTGAGATATCTCATTATACAATATACGATATCTACAGGAAAATATTTTTTCAGTGAAAAGTTGAATAACTTGAAGCTTGAGGCTCGTAGTCTCAAGAGTCCAATATGCAATTAATTGAACATTTAGACAAGGTCATATTAATTGGTGCAAAGCATGGCATGAGAGTGCCAGCTCTCCAGAACGCCTACGCGTGGTTGATTCAATGATTGATGTGGTCATTTGGCCACTCAGATGATCTGCCTCCAGAGTTACAAGCACAGGTGTCCCACGAGAAAATTAAGCAGGTATATTGTAGTAAAAAAAGGAACTGTTTAGAATTTGTTCGTCCAAAATATTACTAGCCCATACGTAAGATCTTGAAAGCTAAAAAAATGTATTGAATGAATAAGAAAGACTTTTATTATACTATACTTTCAGAAATTGAAAAATATTGAGAGAGAACCATTGCACGATAAAGACAGCGAACGATAATCACAATTGTAATTTCGATTAATGACATTACTGTATGTATTCGGAACTTTTTTTTAATGTATGAAGTGAAAGTAGATTTCAATAAATCTTTGTGGCAATTTTAGAAAACTCTAGTGAGGAAATGAATCCCAGTATGGAAGATGACGCTCCAGGGACACAAACAAGCTCGAATTAGTAGCATCTACAATACCCCATATCTAAAGAAAAAATCATTAAGAATTAAATAAAGGGAAAGAAAATGATGTTCCAATACAGTTTATTTGGGTAGAAAACATTAGTCAAACTAGCGCTGCTACAACGACTCATACTTTCTCGCATTACGTCCGAATTTGTAATCTTCGAATATTTAGAGTTAAAAGAAAATGAGACGCGCGCCATTCATTTAAGCGTCTCTTCATCTAACCGTGAAAAAATAGAGAAAAAATTTGGAGCGTTTTTTGAAAAAATTGTGATTTTTGAAATAGCATAAATCTCAAGCGCATATTACGCGAACCCTACTCATATTTTCGAAATATTGAATATGAACTTATTTGAAGATCAGTCTTTAAGAAACAAGAATTTTATGAAGAATAAACTCTATTTTCGATATTACGAGTATAATTACAGGAAGACGCCCCAAAAATTGCGCTTTTCCCATTTCCAGAAAATCTTGCGATTTCCACGAACATAATGCATGCACCATTCTCTTAACCGACCTTTACGCTATCCGGGGAGAGTCGAATAAAAAAATCACATTTTTGAGAGAATTTCGAAAATGTTCTTAGGGCATGATGTAATGTTCCCTTGAAAATCAAAAAATCCGTTTGAAAGTCACAAAGCCTCGAGCTTATTCAGATTTATCGGGGAAAATCGGCTGAAGGGTTAAGGCGCTACCATTAACCACAGATGAACAAACAGACGTTTTGGCGTCAATCGATTTTTCGGTGTCAAGTACACCCAAAACATGGATTAGCCAGAATCCATATTATATCAAGTCTTAGTGGACGTAATGCGCTACATATATCATCATGATTTTCCCACTTTTTCGTTACCAGAGCTCGGCAATAAGTTTTTCTGCCGAAAATTCGCCGTATTCCGGTGCAGGATTACAGAACTTTCTCTTGTGAAGAAACTTCATAAGGGAGAGAAAATAAAAAATAAATAGAATGATTTATAAAGGATCGTTTATTTTAAATTACAATTGCCAATGGTTATTAATTTAGAAAAAATATACTCTAGATACTTTTAATCGGTTTCGTCAGGAATAATGATTGAGATAAATATGTTACTTAAACTATTCATTCTTACATGTATATTTTCTTTGAACAGCAACCAGAATTCTGTTTCAATTATTAAGTTTTAAAACAACATTATAATTTATTACGTATCACTAATATACTTAAATTATTTTACTTCGTCAACACTATTATTCAAGTGAAAATTGAGATGAAAATTAAAACACACTAGCAAAAATGACACATTGACACAAACAAATATTTCCTACTTATATTTGCTGAAAAGAGTTTTTCATGGTGTAAGAATTTTCAGCTTCTTGGAATACTCAACAAAAATTAGAGATTAGTTCCTCGCTTACCTGTTTTCGGAGAGACTTGGGTGCAAGATAGACTCGCACATAACACGGAGTTCATAAGAAATATTTGTTGATGTAACTAGGTGATTTAAAAAAATACTAAATGACTCAACCTGTTTACATGAAATTAATTCATTACACACCTACTTATCTGCCCCGATGCTTCCCTGCTCTTCCGTCTTCTTGAGGCCGCTGGAGCACAGCACGAGCTGTCGCTGCCGGTGGGAGTACCTTCCCATTGATAAGCACTTGAGCAGCAGGAGAAGTATCGAAACAAAGCACACTCCTGCGGCACTAGTACTTAGGAACGGGACAGGGCTGCGAGCGCATGCCGGCAGGGGAGCCACCGAGGTGCTGTCGTCTCCTAGGCGCTGAGTGGAGCGTCCGGGATTGCTGCTGCAGGACCACTTCAAGGAGAGATTGCACCGGTCATTCCAGGTGATTGATACTGACAAATGACAGAATACTTATGAAAATCGACAGAGAGAGATTTTCGAATTCTTTTAGTCTTGAGGCTTCTTTGCAAATAAAGCCAGTAATAAATTTAGCCGGCACAGTATGTCGAGGTATCTTCGGATTGAGGAATAATTTTGACGAAGCCCTCGAATTCTGAAACGTGTTTCGTTGCAATTAAATCGAAAAATGAGAGCGTAGGCTTCCGCGGCCGGAGTCAGTATTTACTAGGCTGTCCGGGTGACGCCGCGTCAGGGCTTAATACGTTACGCCCTGACGAAGGTCGCAGAATGGCGACCGAAACGTCGGCACCTTCGCCATGGACGCGGCGTCACCCGGACAGCCTAGTAAATAAATCGATTAATGTTTCTACAATGTTGGATGTTTATGCACATATAATAAGTGTATAATAATAATAATAATAATAATAATAATAATAATAATAATAATAATGATTACTAAAGAATATATTCTTTAGTAAGCGATAATGAGTGTTCCTGAAAACTCCTTTCATTTGATTTTAAAATAGACCCTCGTTGATGCGAATTCCAAGTGACCGAACTATTAGGTGTTCGTGATATTAGATTATTATTTAAAAAAAATACATAGTACTATTACTGTTTCTTTGGCACAAACCACTTCGTGTTAAGGTGAAATTTGTGCTAACGAGTGTTTTGTATTCGATTCTATGGAATGCTGTTGTCGGTTGGTCTAATGACATAAGCAAAACGTGGTTCATGATGTAGTACCATTTATTGACCCTCTTAACAACCACAATCAAATAAAAACTAGTGACGAAACTGAAACACCTTACATATTCTTCAGATAGAACCTGTAGATTAGGCAGAGTCTCCGATCTGACTCCAATCTCGAGTGGAATTAAAATATTGCAAAAATGGTTCGCAACAGACTCCAATGGACCATGCGTACAAGAAAAAAAAAGAAGTTTCAGCATAACAGATCCATGATACTGTTACAAGTTCCCTTGTTACAGTGTCATGGATCTGGTATACTGCAACTGTTCTGTTTTTATTCGTGAACATCCGACGCTTGTCCGATGTATTCTCGTATGAATAGAGTGGGCCTAGACGAGATTTGGCTATCCCTCAGTCCCACGGGTGAAGGTAAGACGAGGAAATATCGCGCACGGTCCGTGGCTTATTGTATGGATTTTACTCTGGCGTTAGTCCGGAAGTAATCATGCAGGTCACGAAAACCACCTATGAAAATAATCAACGTACGATCTCCAAACAGAGGATGTGGTGAGGTGAACACAAATTCGTTGAACCACACATCTAGCAAATTTACAGCACCTGAATACTCTTCTCTTGTCACCGGTAATGTTCGTCATCATCATAAACTTCATCGCCATATGCGTTCCTTCAATTTAATTGTATTTGCCTTTTCATTACCTCATTATAAACGACCTTTCCGATGCACTAAATCGTTCAGAAGATGACAATTTAAAGCAAAACTCATTACCTCATCGTCTTGTCTGCTCAATGTGTTTGTCATGCTATGTGTTTGTACAAACAAAACATGATAACATGTAAATAATAATTTGTAACATTGTCTAGGTTTTGTAACTTTTGCTTCATATATTAGATGTGATTAATCAATCCCCTGTGATAGATACCCAAGTAACACACGTCACTAATAAAACTGTATTCGTATTATATGTTTACTTTTCACCTAATTAAGTTTTTTTTTACTTTTCGTAAAGTTCTTGATTGTTCTTGTTATACATTATGTTATAAAATTGGTTGTAGTGGTCAGTACCTTTAGATGGCTAGATTGTCACGAGGGATATGATTTGCAATTGTCAGTATTCGTCATAAAGTGCCAACGCACGTGGCGTCACAGGAAAACAGCAAACCCCAATTTAAAGTTTAACTCTAAAATTAACTTATCTTCACCAATATATGGGGTAACATAAAATAATGTAGGTAATTCATTTAAAATATCACAATATAAATGCTCACATTGAAATTCGTTACTAACGTATCTCGTTTACAAAACTCTTAACACTTATGCAATCAAATTTAACATACAAAAAAATTGTTGGCATAAAACTGATTCCCCTTTTCCTGTTCCCTTTTTTCAAGATGTGCATTATCAAAATTTCGCACTGCAAACACTGGCTCAAGGAATCAACTGTCACTGCACAACAGAGCCTCTGTCCCGGACGTCCTAGGGACGATTCCAGCCGACGGTGGCAGGATTTTCGACACTAGCTACATAGTCCGGATTCAGTCGCTCTCTGGAGAAGACTTTTAACGATTGGCTGCGGTTTTCAGTGGTTTCTCCATTAATACCAGGCGAATGCCGGGTAGTACCCTAACAAACGGGCCCCTGATCGCACTTTCCTTCCTCTTCCTTTTCCTATTTTCACCCCTCACTTCACATTCACTTACAGGCAATGCATTACCACACATGACGGGATACCAGTCAGTTTGAGAGCGAAGGGTTCCGCGGCCGGAATCAGTATTTAATTGGCTGTCCGGGTAACGCCGCGTCCATGGCGAAGGTGCCGACGTTTCGGTCGCCATTCTGCAAACTTCCTCAGGGCGTATTGCAGTCAGACTGCAATGAATTCCTTTTTCTGGCTAATAAATTGTTATGACTCTTCTACTCGTGGCTTTAATTATAATTAGTCAGACTGCAATACGCCCTGAGGAAGGTCGCAGAATGGCGACCGAAACGTCGGCACCTTCGCCATGGACGCGGCGTCACCCGGACAGCCTAGTAAATACCAGTCAGTTTCTCATAGCTTGTCCCGGCTGCGGTACCATGCTGATGGGATATACCAGGTTATGAGAAAATCTCCGCGACCTGCCACGATGTAAACATGCACTACACTTACGGTACTAATTACCTTAGCAATTGACGCTCGCGGAATCACTAACCAATCAAAATGCCCGACGTATCTACGATTAAATGCTGTAACCGAGAGGTTTTACCCGGCAAAGCAAAAATTGTTTAACTTTAGTTAGAGTCACATTAACTACTAAGTCACTAGCGATTCGTTAAAGAAAAGTTACTAATACATTAAGCAGAGAACCTAGATTAAACCATTTAAGAATAATCGAAAGTTCATATTTTCCTTTACATGTAATAGATGTTGTCAGAGTGTTATATCTCTGTTATCTAGAATTTCCCTTGAGTGATCCACATACTAGAACCATACTGATACAATTTTATACATTGTATATTGATTTTTGTGAGAGTTCAATAACAATATAAAACCTAATACATGTTAATTACATTACACTCTATTAATTACATAATTTGCTTATATTAATAATTAATTCCCGCTAAATCTGGTTTGTCTAATTAAGTTATTATACTAGAGAAAATTAATTTCTGATAGTTATCTGATGAGATATCTCAATGCAATCTGTTACCACTGCAGCGTATTGGGCAGGAGCTTCTAGGGTTTGAGGCCCAACGGCAACAAATTTTCAACACTATCTACGGTCCTTCACTGCTGCAACATGAAATTTAATTGCGAAGTACATGTGCGTCTGCTTCCCCCATATCAATATCTTTATATATATATATATATATATATATATATATATATCATTATCTGCACACTTTTTTTCGTTTTCAATATCTCTGGTGAAGACTGTGGAGTAATTTCATATCCGACAAGTTGCATACTTACGGTGTTTTGTCGATAGTTTCTCATAAATGGTGTACATAACTGTCATAGTTCCTTAACATATTACATGCAGCGGGGATATCTTCTGCAATACACATCAGGACGTCTGCGATAACATTTTAATGTCTCCGTCTGACGCAGGGCTTATCGAACAGTCAACTGTGAGTCATACAGGGTCTTAAAACAAACGCGGATCAACACCCGCACACAAGGAAGGATCAAGGCCTGGGGGCCATGTGCACATGTGCGCGACCGAACAACCTCAGCAACAATGGCGGAGAAGCGGGAGTTATGGAAGTAGAGTTTAAACTTTATAACGCCTCCGGAGGGACTCAGTCACTTTTTTCCCTTTATAAAGACTTTTAGTTAGGGATTTTATTGTGAGGTAAATTAATCACAGGCATCCAATGTGTACGTTACAGGGAATTTTGCGTATCACCTTAACCTTGTCCTTTCGTGATCTTTTTGCCCCTACCGGTAACTAACGGAAAGGTATATATGCGATCCTTTCACTAACTATTTAATATACACAAGAACAGATATGGGTTCGTAGGGTATCGCGTGCCACGATGTGGATACCGATGGGCTCAAGACTTCTGCGGGAGTTACGGGAGCGGTGAGATATCGCGGAGGCCCCGGTATGTGTCGTGGAATCTTTCGAATGTCACTTGGGAGTCGGCCAAACTAAATGAAGACCTCATTATAAGGGAAAAGGGAATAGAACAATGCTTAGTGTAAAAAATTAGAATTACAAT